TATATATATATATATATATATATATATATATATATATATATATCTCACATTATAGCAAGTTCTACATACTCACCACCAGTGCTGAGACACAAGTCGTAACTTCCTTAAAGATATTGTTTACTCGTAAGATGACAGTGCCAAAAACTGACCTTACATACATACATACATATAAATACAGCATTTTTTGAAAGAATGAAAGAGAAAACGTTACCATTATTGGCTACATAGTTGTCATATAAATGCAGCATATTCCAAATGTGTAAAATCATGGAGTGGTCATCTTTATTATATCCTATGGAACTCCTGTAAAAACAAATGTACTGAAAACATACGAGTATGAACATTTTGGTTAAAGTACATCAATGGATTTTAGATGGGATTTTGTTTTTCTTCTGACAATCATGACATACTCACTGTATCAGGTTAATCAATTTATATTCTAGCTTTTTTAAATGATTGCTTTATAAAGGAAATGCATATATTAGAACAAATGGATTAACCTGATTCAGAAAACACATCATAACACCAAATAAAGGATTCATATGAAATCATAATAAAAATCTAAATTTATGATAACTTAAAAATGACAGCGAAAGTCTGTTTGAGTGGGCTTTTTTCTGGAAATAAGTTTAGAGTGACTCATATTTTTGAAAAAACATTTTTGATAGTGCTAAGTAACAAGTACCTGAATTATATTTGACAAATTCTGTAATATTAAAAAAAAAAAAAAGATTGAAAAGGCTTGACCTCAAAATACAGTACAAAGAACCTTATTTCTGTGCCTGGTTGTGGGAATTTGCATGGTCTTTGGAAATAAACACAGGCAAAACACAAATTACCACAATAAGAAAATAATAATAAATAAATAATAAAAATTAATAAATAAACAACAACAGTCTCCTACTCAAACCACACTTAGTTTACTATTAAACCTTTAGGTGAGTTCTAGAAGTTAAATGAATGTACCATTGCTGAAATAAATAAAGTTTGCTACATAGTGGCATCTTAAACATCCAACACCCATCAAAAACAGCAATGCCTAGAAAATTTAACTTAATTTTTATTGAAAAGCTCGAGAGTCCAATGTTTAGCAGATGGTAAGTAACCCAGCTTTCTGGAATACCCCCCTGGTCAGGAGCAGGTTTTATTTTCTAAACTTTGAGTTTCTGTCGGTCTCCTCCCCTTTTTTAAAGACAAAGCGGCATTTCTCACCTCTTTTAATGCTCATTTTGGAGATGCACATAAAAATGAAACGTCGTGATGCACATAACTTTTGAAAATATGCACAAAAAAGCGTGTATAACTGAGTATATAAACCTTTATTCAATTGAAAAGATGCTAATAAACTATGATGGAAACAGTTTTACTGAACATTTCAGTATGTGCATTAAAAAAATGTTTGTTTTAAAAGATCATATGATGATGAAAATGTGTGTGAATGGAAAACCATTAGGCTGAGCACACTGTAACACATCGTAAATGTTGTTTTGATCATTCATTTTAAAACACCTAACCGTTTCAGTATTAATGTTATTATATTATTAATGACCTCCAGAGCATCTGGAGCGTGTTAAGAGCGTCTGTTCTCCACGTCTCATGCCTTCAAACGCCCCCACGCATTCCTTATGTCAGCATTGTCTTTTGAGGTGCAAATGCATTTAAGAAAAGATTGATGCAGCTTCTTCTACCGCAGTAAATTGTTATTGCTGTTGATATTTGGAGCCCGTTTAATTAGCAAGTGATGATGTTGTTTTGACTCATTGAATGGAGACTGCTTTATTCGCACGTTTTATGCATTATTCCAGTTTTGCACATAATTTAACATATTTGGATGGAAACATAGCTATTGCCTACATTTCACTCACACAAAGAACAAAGTCATGTACGAGAATGACCCGTCCTTTTTTAAATAAATAATTAGCTTAACTTCATCGACCTTCAACAGGGTACTGTAACTAAATTAATGGGATTTTTATTCTTTCTAAAAACAGTTTAGCTCTGCTTACATTCTAAAGGCAGACAAACAAGTGCACTTTTAAATCTAATAAAACTGATCATGTATAAACATGGGAACATGTGCGAAATTTTAAACATTACTTTGATGCTTAAATATTTTAAATGTAAAGTTACGCATTAATTTGAGCAACTATGTTTACCACGCTAAAAGTCTGTTTCAATGATGCAGTGGTGTTGCTTTTTTTAAAAATATATTGTCAAATTTACTATACCGTCGCATGAGCACATCAAGCTCAGCTGGAGAAAGAAATGGTAACTAATAATATTTTTACTCAATTGATAATGACTTTTTATAGTCAGTGTGTGCGTTTACCTTGGAGTTGGTTTACTCAAAGTTGATTGACCAAACTCAGATGAGCTGTTCTGAAACCGAAAACCTGGTTCCTAAACCTCTCTGCAAATCAACTCAGAGTTCAAGTTTTAAACTCCGAGTTAGTCAAACCTCCTTGCTGAAACAGGCCAAACGTCTTCTACTCAACCACACTTCAGTTTACTATTAAACCTTTAGGTTTGTCCAATAATTAAAATACAATGCACCATAGACAACTTAAACATCCCAGACTTCAAATTTTTATTTAAAAACCAGTTGCAAACAAAAATTGAAACATGACAGTTTAACAGTCTCCTAGCCCTTGACAGAGTCACGTCTTAAAGTAAACTGATCAGTAGAATCCTGAGGATGGAGTAGTCCTTGCACATTCAGAGTGGGAGAGGATCCAGTTTGGGTGCTATAGACAGAAGAAGTGATCTGCTTTGAAATTGGCACAGTCATTGACTGACTATTAACACCTTGGGGCAATGATACAGCTACATATGGGGAAGAAGATCCTGAAACTCTTGTTGAACCTCGACCCTGGAATAGTCTTTGCAAAGTGAGGGGAGCAGAAGAACTGGTCTGAGTTCCATAGACAGTGGTGATCTGCTTTGAACTTGGCACAGTTGTTGACTGACTAGTAATACCTTGAGGCAGTGAAACAGCCACATAAGGGGAAGATACTGAAAATACCTGGCTTGATTCTTGACCCTGGAGTAGTCCTTGTAAAGCGAGGGGAGCAGAAGACCCAGTCTGAGTGCCATAGACAGAGGCAAATGGCTTCTTTGAACTTGGCACAGTAGTCGACTGAATAGTAACAACTTGGGGCAATGCTACAGCTACATATGGGGATGAAGATCCTAAAACAACCTGGCTTGCTGAATCTAGAGCCTGAGTTAGTCCACTATATGCGGTGCCTCCTTGCAAGGTGAAAGGAGCCGATGATCCTGTCTGAGTGTCATAGACAGAGGTAATCTGCTTTGAACTTGGTACACCTTGGTCCAGTGACAACTACAGATGGAGTTGAAGATCCTGAACCAATCTCGCTTGTTGCATCTTGAGCCTGGACTAGTCTCTGCAAAGTGAAAGGGGCAGAGGATCCCGTCTGGGTGCTATAGACCGAGGTTATCCGCTTTGAACTTGGCACAGCTGACTGACTAGTAACATCTTGGGGCAAGGACACAGATACATATGGGGTTGACGATACAGAAACAACCTGGCTTGTTGAATCTTGACTCTCGAGTGTTCCTTGTAGTACAAAAGGAGTAGAGGACTCTGTCTGAGTGCCATAGACGGAGGTAAAGGTCTTTTTTGAACTTGGCACAATTGTTGACTGACTAGTAATACCTTGGGGCAGTGATACAGCCACATAGGGGGAAGATACTGAAACAACCTGGCTTGTTGATTCCTTACCCTGGAGTAGACCTTGCAAAGTGAAGAGAGCAGAAGACCCAGTCAGAGTGCCATAAACGGAGGTAATGGGCTTCTTTGAACTTGGCACAGTTATTGATGGACTAACAACATCTTGGGGCAATGACACAGCTACAACAGGGGTTGAAGATCGTGAAACAAACTGGCTTGTTGTATCTTGAGCCTGAATCGGTACGCCATATGTGGTGCCTCCTTGGAAAGTGAACGGAGCAGAGGATCCTTGTTGAGTCTTAAAGACAGAGGTAATCTGCTTTGAACTTGGTACAGCTGACTGGCTAGGAACAGCTTGGGCTAGTGCTACAGCAACAGATGGGGCTGAAAATTCTGAAATAACCTTGCTTGTATCTTGAGCCTTGACTATACTCTGCAAAGTGAAAGGGGCAGACGATCCTATCTGGGTGCTATAGACAGAGGTAATTTGCTTTGAACTTGGCACAGCTGATTGACTAGTAACACCTTGGGGCATGGACACAGCTACAAAGGGGGTTGATGATCCCGAAACAGACTGGCTTGTACCTTGAGCCTGGATCGTTCCACCATAAGTGGTGCTTTCTTGGAAAGTGATAGGAGCAGAGGATCCTGTTTGGGTGCTATGGACTGAGGTAATAGTCTTCTTTGAACTTGGAACAGTTGACTGGCTAGGAACACCTTGGGCCAATAATATGGTTTCAGATGGGGTTAAGGATCCTGAAATCACAGTGCTTGTTGTATCTGGAGCTTGGACAAACCTCTGCAAAGTGAAAGGGGCAGAGGATCCTGTTTGAGTGCTATAGACTGAGGTAATGGTCTTCTTTGAACTTGGCACAGCTGACTGGCTAGGAACAACTTGGGCCAATGATACGTCTACAGAGGGGGTTAAGGATCCTGAAACAACCTTGCTTGTTGAATCTTGACCCTGGAAAAGTTCTTGCAGAGTGAAAGGAGCAGAGGATCCTGTTTGAGTGCTGTAGACTGAGGTAATAGTCTTCTTTGAACTTGGAACAGCTGACTGGCTAGGAACACCTTGGGCCAATAATATGGTTTCAGATGGGGTTAAAGATCCTGAAATCACAGTGCTTGTTGTATCTGGAGCTTGGACTAACCTCTGCAAAGTGAAAGGGGCAGAGGATCCTGTTTGAGTGCTATAGACTGAGGTAATGGTCTTCTTTGAACTTGGCACAGCTGACTGGCTAGGAACAACTTGGGCCAATGATACGTCTACAGAGGGGGTTAAGGATCCTGAAACAACCTTGCTTGTTGAATCTTGACCCTGGAAAAGTTCTTGCAGAGTGAAAGGAGCAGAGGATCCTGTTTGAGTGCTGTAGACTGAGGTAATAGTCTTCTTTGAACTTGGAACAGCTGACTGGCTAGGAACACCTTGGGCCAATAATATGGTTTCAGATGGGGTTAAAGATCCTGAAATCACAGTGCTTGTTGTATCTGGAGCTTGGACTAACCTCTGCAAAGTGAAAGGGGCAGAGGATCCTGTTTGAGTGCTGTAGACTGAGGTAATGGTCTTCTTTGAACTTGGCACAGCTGACTGGCTAGGAACAACTTGGGCCAATGATACTGCTACAGATGGGGTTAAGGATCCCGAAACAACCTTGTGAAGTACATCTGGAGCCTGGACTAATCTGTGGGTGCCCAAGACAGAGGTAATTGGCTTCTTGGAATTTGGCACAGTAGCTGACTGACTTGTAAAAACTTGGGGCAATGATACAGAGACAAAAGGGGTTGAAGATACTGAATCAACCTTGCTTGTTGAATCTTGACCCTGGAGTAGTTCTTGCAGAGTGAAAGGAGCAGAAGATCCTGTCTGAGTGCTATAGACAGAGGTTGTCTGCTTTGAACTTGGAACAGCTGATTGACTAGTAATGACTTGGGGTATGGACACAGCTACATAAGGGGTTGATATTCCCAAAACAGACTGACTTGTATCTTGAGCCTGGATCAGTCCACCATTAGCAGTGATTTCTTGGAAAGTGAAAGGAGCAGAGGATCCTGTTTGAGTGCTGTGGACTGAGGTAATGGTCTTCTTTGAACTTGGCACAGCCGACTGCCTAGGAACACCTTGGGCCAATAATATGGTTTCAGATGGGGTTAGGGATCCTGAAATCACAGTGCTTGTATCTGGAGCTTGGACTAACCTCTGCAAAGTGAAAGGGGCAGAGGATCCTGTTTGAGTGCTATAGACTGAGGTAATAGTCTTTGAACTTGGAACAGCTGACTGGCTAGGAACACCTTGGGTCAATAATATGGCTTTAGATGGGGTTAAAGATTCTGAAATCACGGTGCTTGTTGTATCTGGAGCTTGGACTAGTCTCTGCAAAGTAAAAGGGGCAGAGGATCCTTTTTGAGAGCTATAGACTGAGGTAATGGTTTTCTTTGAACTTGGTACAGTGGACTGGCTAGGAACACCTTGTGTCAACGATACAGCTACAGATGGGGTTAAGGATCCTGAAACAACCTTGTGGGGTACACCTGGAGCCTGGACTAGTCTGTGGGTGCTATAGACAGAGGTAATTGGCTTCTTGGGACTTGGCACAGTAGCTGACTGACTTGTAAAAACTTGGGGCAATGATACAGAGACAAAAGGGGTTGAAGATACGGAATCAACCTTGCTTGTTGAATCTTGACCCTGGAGTAGTTCTTGCAGAGTGAAAGGAGCAGAAGATCCTGTCTGAGTGCTATAGACAGAGGTTGTCTGCTTTGAACTTGGCATAGCTGATTGACTAGTAACGACTTGGGGTATGGACACAGCAACATAAGGGGTTGATGATCCCAAAACAGACTGACTTGTATCTTGAGCCTGGATGAGTCCACCATAAGTGGTGCTTTCTTGGAAAGTGAAAGGAGCAGAGGATCCGGTTTGAGTGCTGAAGTCGGATGTAATGGTCTTCTTTGAACTTGGCACAGTTGAATAGCTAGGAACACCTTGGGCCGATAATATAGCTTCGGATGGGGTTAAAGATCCTGAAATCACAGTGCTCATATCTGGAGCTTGGACTAATCTCTGCAAAGTGAAAGGGGCAGAGGATCCTGTCTGGGTGCTATAGACAGAGGTTATACGCTTTGAACTTGGTAAAGCTGACTGGCTAGAAACACCTTGGGCCAATGATACAGCTACAGATGGGGTTAAAGATCCTGAAACAAACTTGCTTGTTGAATCTTGACCCTGGAATAGTTCTTGCAGAGTAAAAGGAGCAGAGGATCCAGTCTGAGTGCTATAGACCGAGGTAATCTGCTTTGAACTGGGCACAGCTGACTGACTAGAAACATCTTGGGACAAGGATATTACTACATCTGGAGATGTAGATCCTTTAACGAACTGACTTGCGGTATCTGTAGTCTGAATTTTTCCACCATATGTGGTACTTCCTTGCAAAGTCTGGGTGCCATAGACAGTCATAAATGGCTTTGAACTTGGTCCAGTTTTCAACTGGCTAACATATTTGGGCAATGATATGGTTGCATAAGAGGATGAAGATCCTGGAGCAAACTGATTTGTACCTTGAACCAGGGAAGTTAATCCATATGTGGTACCTTGAGAAGCTGAACTAGACAGACTAGGGGAGCTCTGGTCATTAGTGGACTGGCCAGAAACTCCAGCGTTGGAAGAAAAGCTGCCACTTTCCCTTTGCGCAAAAACAATTTGTCCAGAACCACTTGTAGCATATGCAGTGGTGGATCCAGATGAGCCCTTAAATGACACTGAACCACTTTTACCAGATTGATCCACAGGCAGAGAAGCTGAGGAGGGGGTATTTAGAGATAGAGTTTGGGGTGTAGAGTCAGAACTGCTGGAAACACCACCTTTAACAACCTGAAGTAGATTAAACTTGGGTCTGTTTTTTGGCAAACTAGAGACCACTTCTTCGAGCAAAACCCCAGTAACAGGGGCTTCTGCCACAGAAGACTGGACGACCAGAGGCAAGAAAGTTTTCTCAGATGGCTGACCCAACCATTGGTCAGCATTTGGAGAAGTTGAATCTAGAGAACAAAACACACACAAGCTGAAGAGATGAATTGTGCTTTGTACAATAAAAATTTATATTAGAGCAAGCGATGGACTTAATACATGTATATGCTTGCACATGACGCTCTTTACATTAAACTAAGACCAAGCAGATCAATATTCTCATTGTTTTACAGGAAATAAAAAAAAAAAAAAAATAGGTAAGTTTGTTGACATGGACTTCCATAGCAGCAAAACAGTAAATTACTGCCTCATTGCACAACTTTGACTCAGCAGATAGCTAAATAAACACACTTAAGTTTAACTATTACAAGTGCTTTGAAATGTCTTGCAAATCCACAAACAAAAAAGTTAAATATAAAAACACTTTGCTCTTCAGTATTTTGACTTTCAGCAGTGGAGAGAAGAGAAAAAAAAAAAAAAAAAAAAAACACTAAACAGAGCTCTAAAAACTGGACTGACAGTCTCAATTTACTAGTTTTCCACGTGAAGCTGCTTTAACACAATCTACATTGTAAAAGCACTATAGTAAAAAAAGGAGCTTGAAATAAATCTATTGCACTTTCAATGGGAAGAAAAACTACTTACATGAATATCCATCAGCATTCATCCAAAAAAGCAGGACGACTACCAACAAGGGGAACCTACAAGTTGAAAGACACATTACATAAAAAAAAATTGAACAACATTTGCAAAACAAAATACTAACAGCGTGACTAGTAAAACTCACCTTATCCACCCTTGATCCATGGCCTTATAAAATCAAACAACAAATCCAAACACTGACTGCTTATTGTTCCAAACCTCCATACAGAACCCACAAACAAAATAATGAAAAATGTTGGCGGTAAGTGTTTTTTATAGGCCTTCAGCCATTCAGTTAAAGCACTAATTACAATAACACTGTTCACCTGGGAGATTCACTGGCTGTTAATGAATGTTTTGTGAAGGCTCTGACCCCCTCTGCTGTTTAAATATTGCAAAGCAACTAATCCCAGCCTTTCACTGTTTATGTACAATTATTGAGTTAAGTCGTTCATTCATTTTCCCTCGACTTAGTCCATTTATTCATCATGGGTCGCCACGGAGGCGTTAATAAATAAATAAATAATTTTAATATCTACAGTTTATTTTTTATTTTTTTGCCTAATGTATCACTTAGACATTGTATTTCTATTTACTAGTATTATGAGCGTCATTCATTTATTTAATATATTTTCATTCATTAACATTACTTGATATTGCTTAATGCATTCTTGGCACCAAATACATTCCAACAAACAATCATAAATTACATTTTTAGAAAAGTGTATAATATTCTAACAATACATGGCAAAAGAAGAAAAACTATATTGCTCATTTCTTTAGACACAATTTATGGGAGGGTTTTAAAACAATGTAATTTGCAACATGCTTTACTTTATCGTATACTGTGGTACGTTATTCTATTAAATTATTTAATATATGAAATTGTGATTCAAATTGATGAGTAGTCTATTTTATTTTAATAGCAAACAAATATACAACAGAAAATATATAACAAAATTAAATCAGCAGATACGGATAAATTTTCTATTTACTATGAAGCAAAAAGTTTAAATGAATAAACAACACATGAAGTGTATTTTAAATAACTGAGTTGTCAAACATATAAATATCATTACTACAGCCGCAGTCACACTGGACTTTTCACCCTATAGACTATACCATTCATACACACGTGATTGCGTCAGATCGGAAATAGGAGCTCATGCGACACGTTTTAAGTTACCTACTCGTTTACAGTAAAATAGAGTTTTCTTTTATTAAAGCAAAACTCTGGGAACTTAGAGTTATTCACCAAATATTTTACAGCAAGAGTTAACAGTGTGGGTAATGGACACACATTTTAAAGCAGTAACTTTACATTAATATACATTAATAAGCAATTACATATTTTATCATATAGGCAGATATTAATGAGGAAATATATAATTTGCTTTATGATTGTATTTTTGTACTTTGTTAATATTTCATTGCTAAATAATTAAATTCAAGTAGCATATAATTATTTACAACAATTATTGTTTCAAAGCAGCTTTACAAAAGGTGCACATTGTTGTATTAAAATCAAATCAAGTTAAATCAAATAATTATAATAAATATTATTTAATTAATTATATTTAATAAAAATATATTCAAATATTATACACTGTTAGACCTTACCATAAAGGTTAGACCTTACCTTTTTTTTTTTTTTTACAGTGGAAAAATGGCAACACTGTTGCTAGCTACTCACTGTAATAGTTTGGTTACAGTGAGTAACTGGCAAGAGTGTTGCCATGCAGTGTTGCCAGTTAATTACTGTAATAGAGCAGTAGCTTAGACTAACTAGAAACTGCTTACAGTGAATTACTGGTCTGTAGTGTTACAACACACAACATTATACTGCATACACATTAACGGTATGCCATATAGTTATTGTAGTGTTACTAAAATTAATCAGTATTCTTAAGTGTTAATAAAATAGAAAGAATATAAATTCTTTAGACAAATGCATTTTATTGATTTGGCAGCAAAAAATATACAACAGAAAATATACAACAACATAAATCAGCAGATATCAATACTTGTCTATTTACAATGAAACAAAAAGGTTCAATTTATAAACAACACATGTAGTGTATAGCACAGGTGTCAAACATTTAAATTTCATCTGACATTTAAAAAAGGGCCACTGCGTAAAATCTTGCTGGATAAGTTGGCGATTCGTTTCGCTGTGGCGGCCCCGGATTAATAAAGGGACTAAGCTGACATGTAAATGAATAAATGAACGATATTATGTTGTGTGGCGTTGCGAAAAGGGGCGGGATTAAACAAGCTTGTTAGACATTTAAAAAAGCGAGCAATTGCTCCATGTTTTAAATATCTGTTCAGAGAAGTCATGTTTTGATCCTCGGTTGGTCTCGAGCAGTCAAGTGATGCGATTTTGCATCAAGTTCACCAAGCTTGAGCTTTGCACTGCAGCACCCTGCGAAACTTGACGCATGACCCCGCGTTTCCAGTCTGACACATTCGCGTGCGTATGAATGGAAGTATATGTGTGGAAAAACTCAGTGTGACCGCAGCTTAATGTTGAAGCAGGGTGTGAACTAAACTCTGCTGGCTGCAGCCCTCCAGGAACTGAGTTTGACAACATTTAAGCAACTGCCAACATTTATCACAATCACATATCCAAAAAAAACCAAAAAAAAAACAAGTGTATTAAAGATGTTAAAGACTGGATGATCAACAATATTCTTTTCTTAAACTCAGACAAAACAGAATTATTACTCAGTGGGCCTAAATCCTGTACACAGCAGATCTCACAACCTGACCTACAATTAGTGGGATACAAAGTTAGCGATAGCTCTACTATAAAAGATCTGGGTGCCATACTATAGCATACTATAGCAATTTAACTTTTGAAAAAAACTACCTTCTTTCATCTGAGAAATATAGCTAAGTTACGAAGTATGCTGTCCATATCAGATGCAGAAAAGCTAGTCCATGCTTTTATAACTTCAAGGCTGGATTACTGTAATGCTCTGTTTGCTGGTTGCTCAGCATCCTCTATTAACAAACTTCAGCTAGTACAAAATGCAGCTGCCAGATTTCTTACCAAGTCTAGAAAATATGATCATATCACCTTAATTTTATCCTCCTTACACTGGCTGCCTGTTAAGTTTTGTATTGAATATAAAATATTGCTTCTTACCTATAAAGCTTTAAATAATCTAGCTCCTGTTTCTCTAACCAACCTTCTGTCTTGCTACAATTCAACTTGCTCTTTAAGATTTCAAAACTTAGGGCTTCTGGTAGTACCTAGAATAGCAAAGTCAAGTAAAGGAGGTCAAGCCTCTTCATTTATGGCTCGTAAACTCTGAAATGAAGCTTCAGGGACAGATAAGTCTTCGCTAAGTTCCAGCTTCCAGACTCCGGCGCCTTGACTGCTGCTCTGCACAAGACGTTTGGCCAGTGGAGAAATGGTCGTGCACAACTGGGCCTGATTTCTCTCGAGGTTTTTCTTCACTTTCGCCAATTGCTGAAGTTTTTTTTTCCACTCCACTGTCGCCACTGACTTGCATGGTTGAAAATCTGTAGAGCTGCGCATCGATGGATTTGCTCTTCAGTGTTTGGACTCCCAGTAGTGTTTATTAAACCACAAAGAACTGAGCTAAACTGAACACTTAAAACTGAAATACACTGTTTCAATTTATGGTCTTTTATGTGAAGCTGCTTTGATACAGTCTTCATTGTATAAGCGCTATACAAATAAAGGTGAATGGAATTGAATATCAATTAATTAATAAATAAACTCCATCCAGTGCAAAAAAATAAAAATCATTCAGCACTGATCTTCATGTTGTTCCAAACCTGTAGTAATAAAAAATAAAACAAATAACCTGATTTATGCATTTATTTAAAAAAAAAAAAAAACTTTATTCTACAAATACCACTTTTACTTCATTTGATGTTTTTTAGTCAACTTCATTGAGCCTCTGCAAAAAAAAAAAAGAAGAAAAAAAAGAAAGTGCTTTTTAAGTGAGTGATTAAGTGATTTTTTTAATTTCGCCTTTAAATGTATATCGTTCATGTACAGCAGAGGTGTCCAAACTCGGTCCTGGAGGGGAGGTGTCCTGCAGAATTTAGCTCCAACTTGCCCCAACACACCTGCAATGTTGTTTTTAAAAGCCTAGTAAAGCTGCAGTCACACTGGACTTGTCTCCCCTTAGACTTCCATTCATTCGCACGCGAATGCGTCAGACTGGAAACGCAGGGTCATGCGTCAAATTTTGCAAGTTGCTGCCGTGCAAAGTTCAAGCTTGGTGAACTCTGACCTGCGAAATCACATCCCTTGACTGTGTAAGACCAATCAAGGATCAAAACATGACCTTTCTGAACAGAAATTTAAAACATGGAGTAATAGCTATTGCTTTTTTAAATGTCTAATCATCTTGTTTCATCCCACCTCTTTTTGCATCGCTGTACGACAGAATTTCGCGCACACAAACTCTAGTGTGACCGCAGTTTAAGAGCTTGATTAGCTAGCCCAGGTGTGTCTGATTGGGGTTGGAACTAAACTTTGCAGGACACCGGACCTCCAGGACTGAGCTTGGACATGCCTGATAAACAGTATAATGCTTACCTTTAAATAAGCTCTAATGTGGCATTAATTGACTCCTGATATACTGTAAAACGTTAAATTAATATAAGGTTAAAAACATAAAAAGAACCAAAAGAAAAAAAAAATCACTTAATTATGTTTTTTTTTTAATTTTCAAATAATAATAATAATAATAATAAAGTTAGCACATCAAAAGAACACACACACATAATCCAGATAGGGTTAGAAACATGTTTGTCAAAAAAAAAAAAAAAAATCAATTCTCAAAAAAATAAAAATAAAGTTAAAATAATTATTAAAACAAACAAAAAGTCGGCAACACAGAAAATCCAAAGGATCCAATCTTTATTATTATTTATTTTAAAAAGTTTAATAAAACAAACGTTTCCAATGTCCTTATGAATGCACAGTTGGAAACACAGCTCTGAAAAATACTAAGCAACAAATTCACAATCTGGGACCTGACAGTAGAGGTTTGTGAATCTCTGTGATAATCCCTGTGCACGACTGCACGTTAGCTATTTAACTGATGAGATTGAAATTTAATGGTTTTTATGTGTATAAAGTCTGCTTATTTGCCAAAAAGACACATTACAGTGTTAGCATCTGTACATTATGGAAATAGGCAATATCCAATGAATAAATATACTAAAGTAATGTAAGAAGATATATGAGGAGAGGCTACCTAA